ATTCTAATAAATAGCAGATTTAGGGTAGGTAAAAACCATGGATTAAGATTCTGACAACTTTTTGAGCGAACATCAAAGAAATCCAAACAAAAACATGACTGCTGGGAGGAAGAAGTTCTGCATAGAACACTTTTTGAAATGTTTGTCTATCTTTATTCTGAATGACTTGAGGATAGTTCCAAAATAACTCCACGAACTTCCGGACTCACCTAACAGTTAAATATATATTAGGTTGGCACGTAAGTTTGGCAACTAATTTCGTAACTTTCCAATTTATAATCGTAACGCATTCACTTTTGGATGTAGATCAGGTGTTACATAGGTTACAAATGTGCGCATGCAGATCCACGCATTTTCTTGAAGTGGTGTCATGTTGATACAGATGCTTAGAGATTTTTCTATCAACAATCTGGGCACCGTCTGGGGTCGATATGTCTGATCTAAACTGAAAACGGCTTTATTTTTTTAGAGCCTTGAAATTTCGACCTCGACCTCTCGAAAAATGTTTGAATACTTTCCATTTTGCTACTAAAAATTAAACCATAGGCGCTCATTTTGTAGCCTACTTCTAATCCACATTATATCCAGAAATGAAGGCGTCACATGAAGGCGTCCTTTCCCTATCTGCGGACCGCATCTGGATAAGGAATTACGAGAGTTTTTGTAGTAAAATTTGTAACGCGAATTTAGAAAGGAACTGCTTATAGAATTGTCTCGTAACCCCAAATGGAGCACTGGTAACTGTTAAGCCATTTGGCGAAAAGAGAATTTTCTGCCTGCCTGCTAAGAAACTGTCACCACTGATTTTATTCTAAACAGTTTTTCCCCCTCATCGCTCACAACTTGCCCACCCAAAGGAGTTCCGCAGACAAGGGAAGACAGATTTGAAATTAGCGGTTTAGTGTCTTTCAAGACTATATGCATCTCAAACGGTAAAGCCACTTCGACTAACAATAAATCCTTTCCCTATGAGAACTAGTCAGAGTTTCTTCCACCGGGCTTTCAGAAAATGCTGTTAAACTTTTTATGCTTATTTTTTAATGATGAAATAGGCAAGAGCTAGAAACAGCCGGCTGCTTTATTGCTTGCATTATTTTGTACCCCATCCATTTGTCATATGAAATAACAAGCTAAAAGATAGTTTGGGAATTTGGCATGTTTAGCAAAGAGTATTTCAAGCTAAACAACTTTATGCACAGCTCACTCTTATAAGGAAGAATTAGGGCTAGAGGATTACAGTATTGGCTTTAACAGTCTGAGACTGATTGTAATCGTTACATTGATGAAAAGTATTAATTTTCCTCACTAGATCATAAAAGGGTTTGTTATAGAGTGTGTTTGTGTGAGGAAAATTTCGGACCTCCACATAATTTGTTGTAATAATTGACTTGTACTAAAGTTCATCTATGTATTTTAATGTTAAACAAACACATGAAAACATTTGTAGTGTTGAAGCAGGCTATAAGTGCGTAAGAGAATTGATGAATAGGATCTGCTCTTATTTGTTGAAGACCGTATATCCATTATGACCGGGATGGTAAAACACTCCTGATTACACATGACCTAAAGGCATGTGCATTAATGTATAAGCAGATATCGTCAGGCAAACTTCGTATGCACAAAAGCAGCTGAAAGCACGCAAAATCACATTCATCTGGTAAGTTATCAAAACAGCCCTCTTATGACTTAATGCATTGCACAGTCTGTTCTCAATCTAAACATTTTTTGGTACTTTTCCGTTATCCGGACCCATTTTTTCAAAGAAAGATACTGCTTCTGTCCTTGTACCATACATCGTCCCAACTTCACAGAAAGGAGTGTCAACCTTCTGCCACGTGTCAAAAAATTTTGACATGTCATCTACATGTTTAACCGGTTTTACCAAGAGTTTGTGTCACTTTACCCAGCGAAATAAGTTCAGCTTGTTTTTTTAGTAATTTTGACCTCATTTCGACCAAACAGTTTCTGAGCATTGTCATAATTATGACGACATACTATCATCGATGAACAGATTAGACTTACTCACATTAGAATAGTGCACTAGGATTTCGTCATTTAGGAGGAGAAATAAGCGGCATCAATGTTCAAGCTATCATTCAAAGTCTTTTCAGCTAAATTCGCATAGCGAAAAGGGTTTGAAGAGAAATACATTTTTGAATCACTGTTGAAAGCAAGCAAGATGTGCTAGAATAAATTTGTGATAGTTTTATGCTCATATAAAACAGTTAAACAGCTTCAAAATGATCGCAAATTCTCTTTTGCCTCACCGAAAATGATTTCGAAAAAATTATGTCAAAATGAACCAAAACCTGTCAATTTTTTCGTGACACGTGGCAAGGAGGCAGTCTTCGTAGAATCTATGAAAAATTGTTCTTAGACTAAAGAAAGTATAATATGAGAGCCTTTTGAAAAAATGGGTCCGGATAACGGAAAAGTACCCATTTTTTTCCACTGAAACAACAAGCTTAGGAAGATTGAGCTTACTGTGATTTTGAGTTGACCATGACATTATTAATGAGTTAGCAAATCTGCCAATACTGTAGGACAAGAATTTGCTGAAACGCTGGTGATTCAATAGCCCTCTATAATGCGAAAAACGTTACAATCATTGCAATAAGTTTCTATCTGCCCCCTTGGTTATTTTATGATTTGGTGTTTCTGGCAAAATCTGTATAAGCGAAAACTTGACAACTTACGAAGCGACTCACAAGTAAAGCGATTTTGGTCGAAGTGGTCTTTTTACTTTAAAAAAGTACCAATTTAAGAGGCATTGAACGATGATCACAAACTACTGGACGTCGGCTTGTGATGGTTTTTGGAACAGAAACTAGAGCGCAACTGAAACAAAATTGTCCAGAAGCTCAAGTGCTTCAGCTTTGAATATGAAAACGCTTCATGCACTAGTTCTTTTTTGCCTAACCTGCCCATTCTCAACGTTGCTCCACATATCGCTCATGAAACGTCAAAAGGTTACCTAACTCCACTACCACCAAAATCCGCGTCGAGCTGCTATGCTTAAAATGAACGAATTTTGAGTAACGCACGGTTCGATTCAGCACGACGAGGTCCGTCTTTCTAAAATAGAAGTGCCCGATTAACTACGGTAGACGGTCAGAATCCAAGATTCTATTCATATTTTTGCTTACCTTACAGTTTATTCGGTGTGCAATGCTTATTTCTATATACTGGAAGAGCACTTCACTCCGTCAAGTAAAGCGATGCTTGCGGATTTGGGGTTCATTCACTTTGAAACCAAGATATGCTCGCTGATCTTACAGGAAAGGATGATCGGTCGAAGTGGCCGTTTGGAATGAGTTGTATATTGGGAAACCGTCCTCGGTAAGGCAAACTCAAAACTACTTTCGCTAGGTGCCGAGGGTTTTGTGGAGGGAGTTACAAGGTCACATTCCTCCGGCGCAGCCGGAACACCCAGTGATGAGTGAGGCGCTAGGATAACGCAGCATTGTGTCGGTGGCGCAGTGGCAAGACAGTGGACTGCGAAGCAGATGGTCGAGGGTTCGAGTCCTGTTGCTGTTACTTCGTTTTGCAGTTCTTTGCTATTTACTGCAGAAAAGTCACTATTTCTACAATAAGCTATAATCTTCTGCAATATGTAAATCTGTGGAGTTTATGATGTCACAACAAAGAATTCAAATGATATATTAACATGTTGAATACAACCACAAAATGCTCAAAGCAGAAGAGCTTCTCGCAGCGCGCGCACTTGCAAAATTGCAATCGATTCACATCCCATGTATTGGCTCTCGATCTGAACTTTACCTTGCATCATAAGGATTCCATCCTTAAGATCTTATCGCTCATTTACACAGTTTTGCTCGCCGCGATTAAAAATTTTCTTTCATACCCATGGCATGCAGCCGGATACATTGATAATCACTACGGCGAATTCGAGTCTCCTATTCAGTACTGTTTTTCACCGACTTTGATAGGCAATTGTAAAATTGCTGATTGTCATCGTTTATATTTTATCCGATGTGCGCGCTGCGAGAAGCTCTTCTGCTTTGAGCATTTTTGGTTGTATTCCATACATGGTAATATATCATTTGAATCCCTTGTTGTGACATCATAACCCTCACAGATTTACATATGTAGAAGATTATAGCTTATTGTAGAAATAGTGATTTTTTTGCAGTAAATAGCTTGTTTTAACTGCCTAGAAATGAGTATTTTTCGTTTACTGTCATCCAATAGACTTTTTACAGAACTGCAAAACAAAGTAACAGCAACAGAACCCGAACCCTCGACCATCTGCTTCGCAGTCCGCTGTCTTGCCACTGCGTAACCGACACAATGCTGCTTTATTCTAGCGCCTCGCTCATCACTGGGTGTTCCGGCTGCGCCGGAGGAAAATGACCTTGTAACTCCCCCCACAAAACCCTCGGCACCTAGCAAAAGTAGTTTTGAGTTTGCCTTACCGAGGACGGTTTCCCAATATACAGCTTATTCCAAATGGCCACTTCGACCGATCATCCTTCCCTTGTTAGTTAACTTCAATGGAGCTTGGTGACTTCTTGACAAATGTGAGCGGTACTGCATTTGGGGGGGGGGGGGGGGGGGCGGAAATATCTAAAGTTGACCAAACTTCTTGTTAGTTTCAGCGTTCATTTTTCGCTTCAAGAAACTCAAAGTAAGGTATGACTCATTTGGAAAGAACACTTAAAAGCATTTCTTTAGATTAGATGTTTTTTTTTGAAGCCCTAGTCTTACCTTTGATGCGTACTGTACTGAAATCATGGAAATGCTATGGTAAGACTTTCGGAGATACTCTTTCGCATTATATCCAGTCTTATAAGAAGACGTAGCCCATTATTACATTGCCTGCTTTGCACACATAAGTCACGCTTTTGAAGAAAACTTATCTTCTGCGAGTTTGCAATCGTTGTGCTATATGTTATTATACATTCATTATTAATGCCCATATAATTATTTTGAAATATCGTATTCCACACAAAAATGTATTACAGGTAACTGTGGCAACAATGCTCTTCCAAAAACTGCTACTATTCCTTCTTCTTGCATTTGTGCATGGACAATCTGAGGAAGATGTTTTGATGAAGCTATGTCCTTCCAATGTCTGTTTCAGACATAGTCAGGTAAGAGTAATTCTAATTTTGAAAATTATATAATCTGCCACAAGTTTTCCTTACAGTGCATCAGTGACTGCCAGAAACTTAGAGGAGACACTGGTATTTATAACCTAACCGTGTTATTGCGAAACTGCGACGAGTGGTGCAACCTTTGCAAAGGTTACAACCTCAAAAGCCTTCAATTCCTCAGCTGCTCTGGAGCTCCATGATGCCTTCAAAAACGCAAAACCTTTGCAACTCATGTTTTTCATCTAAATCTTACATGGGAATAAAGTTGCTTGTTATGGGACTGGTCTATGTAAAAAATAGAGCTTTATCAGATTGTATCACATGCAACTGCGTACGCTGCAGCAAACTTGATGTTCATTTATTCAGCGACAATTTGAAAAGTATTCTACTCAATAGCGTCTAATCAAAAATTAAAGGAACGCCGTATGTGATTCCTTTTCCAAAAATCACCCTTATTGAGCTGAACAGCGATAAAGTGCATAATCATACCGCTGAATTCGTGTAGATTAAGTAGTGGTTTAAACGAATTAAACACTTGACTTGAAGTGAAATACTTTGTGATGAGTGGTGCGAATAATGGTTTTATGCACTTCATTCTTGAAAACAGGCTGCTTTTGCGTAATTTGATGGCAGAGTTTGACGTTAATAACATTAATGTAGAAAAAGGAAGCTGGATACTGTTAAATGCAGCATAGGCTTCAAATCTGTCTTCCTTATCTGCTAAATGCCTTCTAAGCGAAATTGTGACATTATGGCGAAAAAACCATGCATAAAAATTGCAAGACCATGTCATTGCCTTCCAGCTCACCTTATAAAGGGTGTCCCAAAAAAATGTTTCGAACGTTTGATCGTTAATATCTCTCTTCTAAAGAAGTCTTTTCCTTTGTCTCAGGTACCAATCTGTAGAGCTGGCTTCAACTTAGATTTCCATTATAGAACGAATCACCCATCTCTCTTCATTACTGTAGGGTTACGGTAGAAACTTCAAAGAGGGTTTTGAACCATGAAAGGCCATATTTTGCCTCAGAAAGGAAACAAAACAGCCTGAAAACTTTTACACCAGGCTAATTAGAATTGCTGATTATAACTGTAAAGTTCCCATTTTATTATGATGCTTCATTGAAGAGTTATGCCAGGTGAGAGGTAGCGACCTTTTTTTCAATGTTCCTAAAAAGTGCGGTTGCACCGTTTAGAAAGCTTCGCAATCTCGTGAATAGTTGAGTATTGAACTCAGCGTCTATAAAAACCCTATTACACAAGTTTTTACAATTTTTTGAAAAATTTTGAAACGGCAGCTTTTTCCACATTGACACCATATGTTTCAAGTTTCTACCGTAATCCTACAGTAATGAAGAGAGATGGGTGATTCGTTCTATAATGGAAATCTAAGTTGAAGCCAGCTCTACAAAACGGTACCTAAAGCAATGCAAAAGACTTCTTGGGAAGAGAGATATTAACGATCAAACGTTCGAAACATTTTTTTGGGACACCCTGTATATGGTCCACATGAAGTAATGTTGCCTGTTTTGGTCAATCCTCAAAATAAACATGGTTTTGAACGGCCTGATTTGCCATTCACAGGTTCTTAGCAAGATAATAGCCTTCAATGGCTTACGAACACAAAAGTGTACAGCAGGTATGAAAAACAGGTTCAAAGTCAGCGTTTTATGCTGCGTCTAATGGAATGCAGCTTGCTTGGATTAGCTACTTTGATTTTACGTTGAAAGATTAGGACATGTAGTAGAATGTGGTACGCAAACGATTTTTCCAGCCTCTATCGTTGTTTTCTTATTCGATAAGAATACCATTATGTCACGGTTGCCCAACAAACGATTTACAACTGTGCCAGAAACATTGGAAGATTCATCTCGTTGATTCAAACCAGCGGCAATTATCGAGCAGAGTCTGTCCGATCAATGCTAATGTTGGACTGTTCGATTCAAGATATAAGGGCCATTTTAAAACACTGTAAACTACGCGTCCCAGAAAATTCGCAGCTCGAAAGGTGAAGGAAGAATAGCTTTCTCCGTTGTATGGGTCATAAAACAACTATTGTACAGTGTTAATTATCACCACCGTAATGATCGCCATTTTCTTGTTGCTGGTGTAGGTCTAGGAGGACCTCATTTCTCTGTTTATTTCTAACAGCAATGGCCAATAAAACTTACCACTTAAACTCGAAATAATTAGTACATTGGGTTGTCCCGAAAGTTCTGTCGTTTCAATTCGAAAATCGTAACTTTTCGCTATCTTGACGGATTTACATTTTTTTGATTTTTAGAAAGGAAAAGTCTTCCCCTTTGTAATGGTTTTTTGATGAGTTTCTACTATACATTCATTGCAGCGATAAAAATGGAAAAAAGACGATCTAGGCTCTAATCTTTAAGTTAAGTCACCAAAAATCTGGAACATTGCGAAAAAATATGAAATTGTTATAACATAAGACTTTGACCGGTTTTTCGCAACGGAGAAAAAATTGTGCTGCCTGGACGTTTCTGTGAAAAGATGACTTTCGAGAAAAGATAATTTAATCAATTTTAGTATTTTCCATTGTAAACTCGAAAATCATAACTTTTCACAGGAACGTCCAAACAGCACAGTTTTTTCGCCTTTGTAAAAATTTCATAAAGATTATGTAGTGATGGTATCAGGTCTTCACAACGTTCCAGATTTTTGGTGACCTAACAGAAATTGATCAAATCTTAAATCGTCTTTTTTTCCATTTTTATCTCTGCAATGAATGTGTGATAGAAGCTCAGCAAGAAACCTTTACAAAAAGAAGGACATTCTCCTAATAAATTAAAAAGATGCAAGTCATCAAGATGTAAAATTTACGTATTTTTAAATTTATAACGGCAGAACTTTCAAGGCAACCTAATTTTACCCTACCGACCTCCAACTTGGTGGTTATACAGTAGGGACATATTAGTACTCTATACCTTTACTGGATTTTTTACTCGCATAGGAAGCAAGAAAAAAGACAGTCCAAAGTTGGCAAACTCCGCCCCCAACCCCTCCCGATTATGTCATTGTATTAGATCGTTCCAAAAGTTCTTTCCGTTTTTTTTTCAACCTATCATAAAAACACGTGCAATGAGGGTAGGGAAACGCTTTAGAGACTATCCAAGGCAGCTTTTCTTCCTCTTTTCAAAGTGGTATTCTTGTGCCGCCTGTTCTTGTGGTCAGTGAGATAATGGCCGAAATTTCGAACCCATAGTTTTTACCATGTCCAACTTTGGCAATTTTTCACAATCTTCTTTTTTTGACTTTTGGAAAAGCTTCAATAGCAGTCAGAGGGAGTAAACAAAATGCAATTTTGAAGGAATTTTTGGCAATTTCAGCTGGCTTTTCAGTGTTTTTTGAGATAACTTTTCCAGAATTCTTCACTTTTAAAGTCACAAAACACACAAATGCTCCGAACATTAGCGAATCTTCGGAATTCGACACTACTAAAAGTCGCTTATAATTGTCCACTATATGTATAAAGTAAATGAGTGTTTACCGCTTTGAAATGTAAGATTTCGCATTTTACGTGTACACCTTTAGGCTGATTGAAAATCAAGAATTATGGAAATTTTATCGCCACAAACCCCTCAAATTGGGAAGAAATGCTCAATAGAAAAAGGAGGAAAAACTGCATCGAATGACACCTTAGTTGTGCGCCGTTTTATGTTCTATTGCTTTTGGCATCACCAAAATTGGAATTTGATAGCATCAGATAAATAATTGTAAAAAATTTTCAAGGCTAGCTACAGACGCCGAAAAATTGCATTAAATTGCAATTTGTTTACTCTATCTGACTGTAAAAGCTTCGCCTAAAGTCAAAAAAGAAGACTGTGAAAAATTGCCAAAGTTGGACCTGGTAAAAACTATGTTTTCAAAATTTTGGCCATTATCTCACTGACCACAAGAACAGACGGCACAAGAATACGACTGTTGAAAAGAGGAGGAAAATCTGCGTCGGATAGTGCCTGAAGCATTTCCCTACCTTCATTCCACTGTTTTTAGGATAGGTTAAAAAATGGAAAAACCTTTGAACGACCTAATATAATACAAGAATTTCTAAGTACAATCTCAAAACTTTATCCTTGTATGTGCTCTTATGAACGAGAAATACCGAGTTTTACATGAAAAACCCGAAAAAAGTGGCATTCTGGCATACCTGTACCATCCTTTTTTTCAATCTTGACACCTGGAAAAAAATCCACCAAATAATTTTTTGGGTACTACTATGTGTCTGCTATATAGAGAACAAGTTGGAAGTCCGTAGGAATTTTCTGGAAGGAGATGCGATTTTCAGGATAGCTCGATTTTGCTTTGCTTTTTCAAATTTTGCCTGTATGACTTAGGTATCATTCATTCTATGACCAAAAGACGCGAGACCGCTTTGCACACATTGTCTAAACAAGCCTAATCGTGTAGCAGGCAGGTTCATACTTGTTATTTATCTCGTCCAAGTTTGTTCACTTTTTGCAAACAGGGAAGAACAAACTCAAACTTGTTAAAGGCAGTGTCTCACCAAAGTTGAGGTCGCGGGGATCTTTACATATTCTATTATAGGGACCTCTAGATAGGCCACTGCAACAAGTCCCACTCAATTTGACCCCCTCTACGCTGAGAAAAATTCGCTTAAAGTGGTACGCGGAGAGCCAGTTGGTACGCGCAGACGACTCCTCCCCCTCCTTACGCGTTCGAACATGTCCCTCCACTTGGCATCCCCCTCCCCTCTGTTGCTGCCACTGTGGCTGAGGCTGAACATGGAAGGTACAACTCGTCCACGTTGCTTCCGCGGGGCCTCCAGAAAACGGGGTTTTTGGGAACTTCGTGCGATTTTAAGCTCATACAGTGCTAGACAGGGTCCGACAGGCTTGCAAAATGCAAAAATTTCGGCAACTAAATTTTGGTGAGACACTGCCTTTAAGACAATGTCTGCAATGCGGTTTCGCATCTCCTAGTCATGGAATAGATGAAAGATCTTTGGTGGTCTTTCTGTGGAGCTTGCTCCGCCTTGTCGAATGGTACTCTAGGTCACTCTAGGTCTGCAAGGAAAACAGAAACAGCTCAATTCATTTAAATGGAGTTACTTTTAAACAACCTGATATATCGTTCGGAAAAATGTCTCTTTTTCATGCTCTTTATTTACGTTCAACAGAATTGAAACTATGTCGGTATACAGAATGGTCGTATTACATCTGAAAAT